TTTATATCTCTTCCAAGTTGCTCCCTTTTATTCCTCCACAATTCAATAGTTACATCTATTACAGTTGGAGTGTATGTATATAATTTGCAGTGGTTATTGCCGGATCCAGGGGCAGAGTTAAGGTTACGCAGGCATTCCTAGTTTTCACACATTTGAGTTATGCTGAATTCAACATTCTGGAAAGGCGCAAGCTATCACTAGGCAATCTTAACTCTGCATTAAAAAAGATTTTGCTATTTAATTTGTTTGTAGATTAAGTTTGGAAGAAGAATTAAGCAAAGATACCTGAAATGACTGCAATTTTCCATGATCCATGCTCTTCTTTGGCTATCCTTTCTGCTTCCTCCATTAGCAACATACCAAATCCCTAGAAAGGAAGAAATGAGAGAGATAGAAAAATATAAAGATTGTTCAAAAAAAAAAAAATACAGCAAGGTCAACATTTAAGACAGGTGTGGGGAATCTCAGGGCTGGGTGTGGCCCTCAGCTCGCCTGGATCTGCCCCCAAGACTCAGCCCCTCCCCTCTAGCATTGGGGAGCCTGTGCTAGTGCTCCAGTCCCCCTGCTACACCCTGAGGGCTAGAGCGCACAAAGTCATAGAATCATAGACCCATTGTGGATAAGGGAGAAGCGGTGGATGTCATATACCTAGACTTTAGTAAGGCATTTGATACGGTCTCGCATGATATTCTTATTGATAAACTAGGCAAATATAACTTAGATAGGGCCACGATAAGGTGGGTGCATAATTGGCTGGATAACCGTAGTCAGAGAGTTGTTGTTAACGGTTCTAAATCCTGCTGGAAAGGGATAACAAGTGGAGTTCCTCAAGGGTCTGTTTTGGGACCCGTACTGTTCAATATCTTCATCAATGATGTAGATATTGGGATAGAGAGTACTCTTATTAAGTTTGCAGATGATACCAAACTGGGTGGGGTTGCAACTTCTTTGGAGGATAGGGACATAATTCAAAATGACCTTAGCAAGTTAGAGAAATGGTCGGAGGTAAACAGGATGAGGTTTAATAAGGAGAAATGCAGAGTGCTCCACTTAGGAAGGAACAATCAGTTCCATACATACAAGATGGGAAGCGACTGTCTAGGAAGGAGCATGGCGGAAAGGGATCTAGGGGTCATAGTGGACCACAAGTTGAATATGAGTCAACAGTGTGATGCTGTTGCAAAAAAAGCAAATATGATTCTAGGTTGTATCAACAGGTGTGTTGTAAGCAAAACTCGTGAAGTCATTCTGCCGCTCTATTCTGCACTAGTTAGGCCTCAGCTGGAGTACTGTGTCCAGTTCTGGGCGCCACATTTCAAGAAAGATGTGGAGAAATTGGAAAGGGTACAGAGAAGAGTGACAAGAATGATTAAAGGTCTAGAGAAGCCTATGAAGCCAGGCTTCATGAACTGGGCTTGTTTAGTTTGGAAAAAAGAAGATTAAGGGGGGACATGATAGTGGTTTTCAAATATCTAAAAGGGTGTCACAAGGAGGAAGGCGAAAATTTGTTCCTCTTGGTTTCTGAGGACAGGACAAGGAGTAATGGGCTTAAAGTGCAGCAGGGGAGGTTTAGATTGGACATTAGGAAAAAATTCCTAACTGTTAGGGTGGTCAAATATTGGAATAAATTGCCAAGGGAGGTGGTGGAATCTCCCTCTCTGGAGATATTTAAGAACAGGTTAGATAGACATCTGTCAGGGATGGTGTAGACGGAGCTTGGTCCTGCCTTGAGGGCAGGGGGCTGGACTCGATGACCTCTCGAGGTCCCTTCCAGTCCTATGATTCTATGATTCTAACCCCAACTCAATCATCCCAGTCAGGGCTTTGTCAAGCCGAGACTTAAAAACCTCTAGGGATGGAGATTCCACCCCCTCCCTAGGGAACCCATCCCAGTGCTTCCCCACCCTCCTAGTGAAATAGTTTTTCCTAACATCCAACTTAGACCTCTCCACCTACTAGGCTGGGCCCTCGTAGGCTCTGGTGTGCTAGGGGAATGTGGAGAGTGTCTCTCTCAATCCGGGACCATAGCGAGAGGTTTCTTCCTGCTTCTCAATTGTGTGTGGCCCCCAACTGATTTTTTTGTGAGTCAGCAGCCCCTGACTCAAAAAAGATTCCCTACCCTTGAAACACTCAAAGAGAACCGGCAGAATGGGTGCATGTCCCCCAACTGGAGACCAGAGACAGACACACAAATTGTCTGAAATATACAGTAGATAGTTGTCCCTTTCTCCACCCATGTCGGCTCAATGGGATTATAGCCGTCCCAGTTCCAGCTCTGGCCCCTTGCTGTGGTCATTCTGCAATATACTGGTCCCTCCTGCCAGATCCCTCCCTTTCCATTTTATGAGAAACAATCAAATTCCAGGCACATCCCATTGTCCTGGCACAACCAACCCCCAACCTTGCTTTACGTTATGATATAACAAATTCGGTGGTCCTAGCTTACACTTGAACGGACTCATAGACAGATGGACGGTCAGACACACATTTCTAAAATATATAGTAAGATCTAGGTAAAAAGCAAATACACTTCACTTGCTTTCTCACACTACTTCCTTCCACTGACTTTCTAATGAAAATTACATGCCTCATCCCTCTGCTACCTATAACATCTTCCAGCTTATTGTTGAAGTGTATGAATTTGATCTTATGCTGGTAAATTTGAGCCTTTAGATCAAGCGTAAAAAAGAAAAAAGTAATCAATTTATTCTTTGCACTAGAAAGCCTCAGGGCTGATGTTTTAAATTAACTTCCTTTTATTTAATAATCTTTCCCTGTGTAAATGCATTAGGATGCAACACTTTGTTTGACAGTGATGACCTGGAGCATTCTGGAGGCAGGCATAAAAATAATGAACTCGTCAACTATAGAATAATTAACATTTCAAAACCTAGGGTAGAAAAAGTGGTCATCATAAGAAAAAAGCAAAGCGAAAGAAAAATCAATTGAATCAAGCCAAATGCAAACAAATTAAAATAGACTAGAAATTGAGATTTCATGGCATATGACGCACTAATGCGCACTGTGGTGATGCTTCGAGCCACCGGACCTCAAGATGTTAAGCAGAAACTGTTCTGCCCACCTCTGAATAGAAAAGGGCCCTCCCTGGTACATACAATCTTTCATTGGGAGAAAATGTTAAGCTGAAGATTTTTATATTCTTTAAAATACTTTGTATGCAGTTCATGTTTTTAGGACTGAATCATATGCCCTTCAACTTCACTTCAGCCCCACTTCTCACACCTAGCAGGTATACAGAAACAAAATGTGAGTGCAATTCCTGCAGCTGTGTGTTAGAGATGAATTGATCCCCCTCAGCTCTCAGAGAGAGTATAAGAAGGATGGGTGTTCAGTACCTAATGGCTGAACTAGTGTCAGCATTCATGAGTCTGTATCACATGGACGTGTAGCAACACAGATAAAGCGTACACCCGATGCTGTCAACCATGCGACTGGCATAACTGCAAGTACTCAACAGCATTAGTGAAAGCTCACTGGCAGCAGGAACTTATTCTACTAATACAAGATGGGTACCAAATTCAATTCTGCTTCTGTCACAGCCAATTATTCACTAAAGTATCTTACGGGCTAGTCTCATCAAGATCATCACAAAGTTTTCTTAATCTTTCTAACAGAAAAAAGGTTGCGTACATAAGACGACAAGGAAAGTTACTTAAGATACCTGATGCTGAAATTTGGAAGGGTCACGACTGCTCACTGGGACCACGCTACCGTACACATGCAGTTCTCTAACGATTGAAACGCCTCCCTTCAACTCAGGCCTGAATGACTCCCCTGAACACTTCCGCAAACGCAGAAGGCCAACCAGAATATCCTGTTCTGGATCTTCATAGGACAGAAAAGTCTCCCAGCCACCATTTGCCACGTAGTCTCTTCGAACTAACTCAACCTTTTCAAAGAGAAAAAAGCAGGGAGGGGAGGCAAAGAAAATCCTGTTACAAATAATTGAGGGACACGGTGAATAGACCAAACCCAATTTCATGGATCTACACACTGTTAAAAGGTCAGAAGAAGTGCGAAGTGCTTTCTTAAAGCCCAGTTTCATCCTAGATGGATTTTAGCATCAGTAGATAAGAGCTGAGGGACCTATGATAGCATTTATCTGAAGACAAATTGTGTCATACTTCAATGAAAAATACATTTGTGGAAATGACACCATTACTCTTTAGCCCTGTACACTTTTACCCACAAGGTATTTAGAAAGTGCCAATCAACAGAGTAGCCAGGGGTTGTATAAGGCAGATATGGAAGACTGTATCCTCCACTCCACTGCTGCTCCAAAAGCATCACAACTAGCAGCTCCCCATCTCCAACCAGAGGTCTCAAACATCTAAGGCAGGGGTGGGCAATCATTTTTTGCTGGGGGCCACATCTGAAGGAATGGCCTCAAAAAAAGGGGTGGGGCCAGGATGCTTCCAGGCTTCCCCACCTGCAGACCGTGATTGGTCTGGGGATGGGGGAGCCCCTCTGCCCCGTCCAGGTTCCCCCTAGGCACGCTCCTGGTGGGAGGAGACTTCCCATAATCCCCCAATGCCAGGCCAATCAGGGCCTGGGGGCGGGGGAGCATGCAAAGCCTTCTCCAGCCCAGCAAGGAGCGCATGGCACTTCTAAGTGTTGTGTGTTCCTCACAGGGCGGGGGAAACTTTGTGTGCTGCCCTAGGCCCTGATTGGCCTGTGGGCGGGGAAGTGTGCAAAGCCTCCTACTGTTCTGCCAGGAGCATGTGGCATTTCTAAGTGCCACACACACAGAGGGGCTGTGTGGGAGAAAGCACCAAGTTTCTCAACTGACAATTTAGGAAGTTGGCATTTGATAATTTGGTCTGATGACATGCAGTGATATTTCCCTTGCCTTTAAAAATTAACTATTTCTTTAATGATGGAGCAGATTATCTTAGATCTAATGTAATTAAATCTGTTCACTAAAACCACTTAAGATTATAAAAGTGTATAAAGTTCCAAACAATTTTAAACCTTTTGGGTGATTTAATAAAACTTGCTTAAAGAATGGGTCTTTAATTTAGGCTCAATCTAACAATGAGGATCAATTTTTCCTCCAGGCAGCTCAGTGCAGGAGCTGGGCCTTTAAAAAATTTACAAGAGGAGTAAAAACCTGGATCATATCGTTTGTTTGTTGGTGCTATATAAATAACAATAGGATTGTTGAATCAACCTTCAGTTCTTCTTTGAGGATGTTCTACCTGCCTGCTTTATGAATATGAATGGAGATTGCCTATCTTCTAGAACTGGAAGGAACCTTGAAAGATCATTGAGTCCAGTCCCCTGCCTTCACAGCAGGACCAAGTACCATCCCTGACAGATTTTTGCCCCATATTCCCTCCTCAAGGATTGAACTCACAACCCTGGGTTTAGCAGGCCAAAGCTCAAACCACTGAGCTATCCCTCCCCCCCATTTCCTTCTCATGGGCTGCCCTGGCCAGCACAACCCACGAGTATCAGTATGTAGCATTCATTTTGAAATAATCTTCATTTTCATGCTAGGAGTTTGGGCCCGCCCATTTCCTTCTCATGGGCTGCCCTGGACAGCACAACCCACAAGTATCAGTATGTAGCATCCATTTTGAATTAATCTTCATTTTCATGATAGGAGTTTGGGCCCACCTTATTGTATTGTGCTATATGATAGTAGGTAGAAACCTTGGAGAATTCTGCACGCATACAAAAATCTATTTGATTTTTTTCTCAGCTTCATCTCAGTGCTAGGTGAAGTGAACCTTAATTGGTGTAGCAAATTAAAGGCCAATTTAATTTTGAATAGTATACCCAAAGGCATATTGTTCTCATGAAGCGGAGAGATAACAATCTCTTGGCTCTTTGTGCGATCAAGTCTTGAAATAGTGCATTCATTTCTGTGGAGCCTGTTACCAGAAAGGTGATGAGTGGGAAAGAGCTCAGAGGGAACCCCACCCCAATGCCCTTTGCTTAAGAACATAAGACTGGCCATACTGGGTCAGACCAAAGGTCCATCAGCCCAGTGTCCTGTCTGCCAACAGTGGCCAATGCCAGATGCCCCAGAGTGAGGGAACACAACAGGGAATCATCACATGATCCCTCCCGTCATCCATTTCCAGTCAAGCAGAGGCTAGGGACACCATTCCTACTCATCCTGGCTAATAGCCATTGCTGGACCTAACCTCCATGAATCTATCTAGCTCTCTTCTGAACCCTGTTGAAGTCCTGGTCTTCATCACATCCTCTGGCAACTTTTAAAAACAGACAGAACAGAGCAACAGACAGTGTACACATTACTGTAGATAACAGCGCTGCACTGTACTGGCCGAGAAATGGATGTGGGAAAGATCAGTCTAGTATGTGCATGGCCAGAAATATTTATGAAAGGTTTTTGAATCTGCATGGATGAAAGGCATAGAATTAATGAGAGGTCATGGTCACTAGAAGACACTTCACTGGCAGACTATAAGAAAGAAGTGGTATGTTACTAATTAGAAGATCCAGATTATATTGCTGACAAGAGACTTTTCCTTTTCAAAACAGTGGAGAGTAGGGGCCAAATTCATGCTGTTTGCAAATGTAATGGCACTGAAGCCAGAGCAACACAATTGTGGTCAGGTTTGAATCTGTCCTTAGATCAGGGGTGGGCAAAATCTGGCCCCCGGAGGTCCTGCCGCTCCCCTGCCCCCAGGCCAATTAGGGCCTGGGGGTGGGGGAGCACGCGAAACTTCCTCCCGCCCTGGCAGGACCACGCAACGCTCCTGCCCTGGCCCTGCGAGGAGCATGTAGCACTTCAAAGTGCCACATGCTCCTCGCAGGGCGGGAAGAGGCTTCGCATGCTCCCCCTGCCCCCAGACCCTGATTGGCCTGGGGGAGCGTGTGAAGTTTCTTCCCACCCTGCCAGGAACAAGGGTGCCTAAAGGGGGGACGGGGCAAAGAGGCTCTCCCAACCCCAGACCAATTATGGTCTGTGGGTGAGGTAGCCCAGAAACATCCTGGCCCCGCCCCTTCTGGCCCCAGCCAAAAATTATTGCCCAACCCTGCCTTAAGCCAACCTTCCCCTGTAGTGTGGACCTGGGTAAAGTGGAAAACGTGAATGATGCACTTAAGTGTAACTCTGATCTAGCACTGAATGTGGAAGAAGAAAAGCTTGCGTCTGGCACGATTAATTCATGTTTAAAAATACAGAAACGTGACAGAGCCATTCCATATGTGGACTGGTAGATGATAAACTGGATTTTACAAGTCCCATCATTATTTTGGGAGCCAGCATGACCTAGAGAGTACTAAGGAAACATTTTATTTCCAGGTCTTCCTGAGTCTCTGTGTGATCTTAAAATATAATTGAATTTCTGTGGGCATGTTTTTCTTTTTGCAAAAGAGGGTGAGCATCCATTTTTGTGAACCTAAAGGGCACAATATATGCTTCATCCTCTAAGGGGTATTTACACCTACTACTAATTACACTTTATTGTAGCTTATTGATTTTATTATTTTTACTCATTTCACAGAGCAACTACATTATAATGTAACACTGTCAGTGCTGGTATAAGTGACAAAACCAGGGGATAGATACTCACGCTATACAATCTCAAACTATTCAATTTTTCTCTGTTCAATTTGCCAATATTGTGCTTTATATATTTTCTATATACTTTTCACTAGGAAAAAGGGAACAAGGGCAAGTAGTGGAGACAGCTGAGTCAACTGGGAGTCTGCTACTGCAATGGGAATACTGAAACTCTGGTGGCTATTGCTAGGTAACTGAACATGGTGCTCCACAAACCTTAGCATGTGAATGTGGCTGCTTAAACAGTACCACACAGCTCTGCTGTGAAAATGAATGTGAAACTGGAGCCAGCTACGGAGGCGTGTCACAGAATTGGCCACACATTTGAGTCCCCAATCCCTTCATACCAAATGTTCCATAGCAAGTCACACATCTGAAGCAAACTCTCTGGCAAGCAACAAGTCTCACCTGATATGGTCTCACTTTATGATGAATCTCCTGTATTCCAACCTCTCTCGTCCTCACATCACGGCACTAGGTAAAGAGGGAGAGAAAAATGACAAACCAGAGGAATACATGCGGCTCACATACATTAAGATTTCCAACCACCCCATGGGCTGAAAATTAAGTTGAAACGGCCTATCTTACACTGGGTAGAATTTGAATAAACAGACTTCAAAATAAAAATGCTTGCTGAGCCATTCCTAATGTATCTTTGAAAAAGAACTTCGTGCTAAATGTAAAAACATGCTGATAAAAACCAGTTCACAGAACAGCCATTATATCTCATGAGAAAAGGTATCATTTAATTTGCAAGTAGCACGGCTTGGAGGGAAAAGTCAACAGAAATGAAAGAACAAGAAAGACTTAACATTATCATGGATTCCAAGGCCAGAAGGGAACATGGAGATCTTCTAATCTGATTGCCTATATAAACTAGGGATGTGAAAGTTTAACTGCTTAGTGCTTTCGGTTAACAGGTGGGGGACAGAGCACCTTCCTGCCCATTGCAGGCAGGAGGCTGCTCCAGCCCCATGGGGCCTGCCCTGGACAGCGACACTCAAGCCCAGCTGGAGCAGCACCTGTTTGCGATGGCCTGGGGGTGGCAGGCAGGGGTTCTCTCCAGTCCAACCCTCCCATCTGCTCTCACTTCCACCTGTTAACTGGTTAAACTCTACATTTAACCGCTTAACCAGTTAAACGGATTTTTACATCCCTAATATAAACACAGGCTAAAGAAGGGCCCCTTAATTCCTAGAGCAGATCTTAAATCCACTATGGCCCCATGCGAATTGTTCCAATAGTTGCACTGTTAATTTTTTTTTGCCTTCTGTCCAGTCTGTCAGATTCTTGTCCTTTACTCGAGAGATCTACGACTGGAAAAATCTTAGTGGGCCAGAGATAATCTTGAGCAGGCAATTTGTAAATCTGGATAACTAATTTTAATGGCAAAATAGGCATGTGATACACCTGAATATCAGAAGACAGAGTCCACTCTCTGAGCAAGTGTCCCATAGATGTACAGGATGGACTAACCATGGTAGGTTTGGGACCAACGATCTAAGGCGTCAGAGAAAAGCCAGGGAACTTTACAGCTCCTTGGGAGCCAGAAGGAAGAGGAGACAGAACTTCATATGAGTGAGCTGGATTGCCGTTTGCACAAATTTTTTGTATTTCTTCTTGTAACCAATGTAAACCAAATCTTATGAGAGAAGCCTTGAGGAGAAAAACTTCCAAAGACGGGCTGTTTTTACAGTACCAAAAACCAACCCACCCACACATCCAGTCTGAAAATCCAAAGCTAGGCCTAAGCCCACGTGGAACTTGATTTCCAGGGCATCCAAACGACCCCACCTGCTTCCCAACACCCCCTACAATGCCTTAACACAAAATCAACCTCAGACTATATTCTACACCTTGAAATAATTTAATCTTTGCTATGACCATACAAACTGACACGCTTTATTCTGACACAATGACTAGGCTAAATCTGGTTTACTTTACATCATATGCACAAAATCTCCTTTGCTTTACAAATTCCTGACTAGACAAATGGCATGCAGGAGACAGACATTTCCTCCACTCTTAACGGCCCTAATCCTGAGAATGTGCAGCATTTTTCAGGACTGTGCCCTCCAAATTTTTGCCCCAATCAGTAATCTCAATATTACTCACATTGGGGGAACAAAGAAAGAAAACTGAAATTGCCAAGAAGGCACAGCTGACATGCCTGGGCACCCTCTATCTAATTAGGGACCTACATAACTAAAATCCCTAGGTTTCTTGTATGAGTTCAGTCCCAACTATCTTGGCCCTTAAAAAAGCAATTTATTTATAATTTTATACAAAAAGCAGATATAAGAAAATTTACTGGCATCTGAACAAACTTTTTCGATTGCTCCCTCTATCAGCTGCAAGGTGTCCGCTCCAGGAAATGAAGACTGCTAGTCATCCACACACTAGAAACGTTTAGAGATTCAGTTCCTCAAAAGTACCCTATCAAGGAAAACAAGATTGGGATAGAGCCCCGGTTTTGCTTTGTTATGTATAGAGGAGATTTTTTTCCACTCAACTACAATTTTTTTTTAATTCTCAAAAACAGGAATATCCGTATCATGTTTTTCTTGGAAGTGTTTCTCAAAAGGATTCTCAACCTCTGACTACTGAGTGTTTGAACTGAATATTTTTTAAAAACATTGCCAACAGCGTGTATAAAAATCTTCTCTTTCTCACTTTAGAAATTTCCTTAGCAGCTGAAATTTCATAAACTTCCTAGTTCTCTGGTCATCCTATCTCTTGCAGAGGAAAATCTAAATTTTTAATAGAGGAAATCAAACAAAACATCAGCTCTTTGAGGCATTTTTAACTATCAGAAAATAAACCAAAAAAGCACAAAATCCCAATATTTTCCTTTGCAGGAAGCCTTTAGTTGAGGACCAAATCTGGCTTCTTAAGTTCACATTTCTTGCATCTTGCCAATTTTCTCATTCTGTTCAAATGCAATAATTAATCGCTCAGGAGTCAGCAGGGAGCTCCTCCTAGGTATACAGGTGCCTCTCTTTTACCTGTGTCCCTAGATCCTTCATCCGAGCCAAAGCAAGTTCTCTCAGGTTACCGTGCTCCACTCCTGAGCTGACTAGTGGCATTGGGATATCCCTGTGCAAAGGAGAAAAAAAAACTTTAGACAACTGTGACGGCGCGTTGGAGGTTCCCCGTCTCCTGCACCCCGAAATGGCACAAACAGACTGCACCAGCCAGTGGGATTGAGGGTGGTTTATTGCTCCTCCAGCACAGCGCAGCACAGATGTAATCTGGTTACAGGAACTGGGGCTAAGAGGCCTCAGTGCCCCCCCTTTTAGATAGGGGAGTCCCAGCCCCCTCCCCAGCTCCTTATACCCTGCCTTCCAGCGAGGAACTAACCCAGCCTCCTCCAGCCCTGCCCCCCAAGCCAGGGCAGCATTCCACCTTCCTTTGTTCCTCTCCATGGGGGGTGTCTGGCCACTGGTTCAACAAGTTTGGCCTTACCTCTGCCTAGTGAGGCTTTCCCTGCTGGGTCTTGCTCCAGACAGCAGAGGTCACCACAGCCCAGCAAGTACCCCCACTACGTCACACCCACCTCCTGCACCCCCGAAATGGCACAAACAGACTCCACCAGCCAGTAGAATAGAGGAAGTTTATTGCCTCTCCAGGATACAGTACAGCACAGATGTAATCTGGTCACAGAGCTGGGCTAGGATGCCTCAGGCCCCCTTGAG